TTTAAAAAGTATTTCAGACATAATACCAATAAATTTGAAATAATTTTTTAAAACCTTTTATTAGAACTAAGAGTTAAGCTTTCAATTATATCGCATCATATGTATCGTGTCATATCGAATATCAATATATTATTTGAAATATATATCAATTTAAAGGTTTTTAGTATATTTAATTCTAAGTTGTTTTCAAATTCAAATTAATTTTTAATTTTTTTTGCATAGCAAAAGAAAGGTAGACTAACACGCTAAGTTTCGATTACATGTATTACTAGTCTCTATTGTTTTCCTGTGAATGTCATGGGATTCCTTCATCCCTTTTCTTTACATTGCTGTTGTTGTCATGTATTCGAATGGCACTTTTTCAATATCATTATCAGCTTAATGGTCGGATTAATTTAATTATCAAAAATTACCCACACTATTGTTCCTACACCCATTATTTATAGTTTTTATTAGCATTGTTATCGTAGTTTAATGTTGTGACCTACTTACAGTAAATAGTTTAACTCATATTTTATTTTATGTATTTTACATATTTCAAATTGTCTTCCACTATTTGTAGTTGGTAATAGCAAACATACTACAGACACGCAAGCATCGTGTAGTTTTCGTGACCCCAACAACCTCATACGAGGTGCACCTGAGCAGGGAGCAAGCATTGCAAGGACTTGAAATCGAGGAACCAATTGTTGCTGATGTTGTAAGTATTACTAATAAAAAAATTGCATACTTTGACATTGAGATATTAATATTTTTATTTATTTTGTATTTCGTAATTATTTTGATTTATTATATATATATATATTATATTTTATTTTTTGAAATGAAATTAAATGGTTTTCGTTACCAATTTTCACCTTAGGTACAGAAGCACACTGAATTTATTAGCACGGCTTCAAGTCGACAATGACCATTGTCTATGCGACAGAGACGTCATATACAAGTTGATTGTCGCGTGACCACACCACATTTTTGCCGTTTATTGAATCCAGGACCAGGCATTGGGCGTAAATACTAAACACTTATAGTTATGTACAGCTTTAGTATCTATTTTTGTTCTTATTATTTTTTTGTGTCCTAACTATAAGCCAATAGAAGCCATAAGCTATAGAAATGTGTAAGTTAATTGAAAGCTACACACCTTCAGAATAAATATTATTTGCAATATTCATTAAAGTCGTTGGCGTGTTTCTGCCGCGGTTTATGGGAAATAGTCCTCTTGTTTGGCATATATATGAAATACTAATAGTGTTGCGTCAATCTTTTTTTAAGACTTATATAAAAACAAAGTGCTTCAATTTTAGTTAACATTTTAAAAATTATTCGTTTTAATAACTTTTCATATTATTTAATTTTGAAAATAAAGTAATTAGCGAAGTAATTATTTTATACTAAATTTCCAATTTAAACCATATTCATCCGCTACACGCCCCTCGTGTATGCCAAGCATGGGAAGAGAAATAAAGTATATTGCTTTTTTTAGACAAAATAATTTGTATTCTCAACTTAATGTCTTTATTTTCGATATACTATTGTAAACAATAGTTACGAACCTCTATAATTAAATGCAAGTTTCATCGATAATCTAATCATTGCGACTTAAATTATTATCCAATAACCTTTTCCTTAAGTTTGGAGCGCAGGCAAATTATATATACAATTAATTCGTACTCTAATTTAAGCAAATTAAGTACGACATACAAAATAAAATCAAAGAAAATGATAACCTTTAAACTATTTCCTTAATTATCCTTAACTAAGCGTATTAGGATAATCAGTCATTTAATCAGAAATGAAATTTTTAAATTTCTGAAAAAATACAATGAAAATACAATTATTGACTTAAATAAAATTATTTTAGAGGTGTAACTTCCCTTTGTTATTTATTTATCGGCCTCTATTTTTACGGCTTTATTTGTTTAACTCTATTGGGATAGTATATAGCTAAATTATATAGAATTTAATCTTCAATATAGTTAGTGTTTTATGAATAATAATAGTGTTATTTCACATTATTTTGACACAGTTCAGTGGCGTATATAAAGGGCAGTTTAGGATTCAAACACACCGAAAATATTTTAATCCATTTCATATGACAACATTCAATTAAATGTTGTCATATAAATTTTGAATTAGTTTTTAAAATCGTCTCTCTTAAGGTGCAACCGTATTCTGCAAAGGCTTTTACACTTGACTGCCTTACGTGCACTTGCGTGTTGCACTGTTTGTTTAGACAGGCTTTGATTATTTTTGTGTACCACATATATATATTTCACAATTATTTCAATTAACTTTCTCAGTTAATCTCTGATTAGATTTATTGTCCAATAAAACTGTAATTAAATTGTAAATGTGTAACATGAGTTTCTTTCCACCAGTTTATGTAATTATTCGAAGGTTTTATTGTAAATTTTGCATTGTGAAATGTGAAATAGATAAAAGCTTTAGAGCTAATCACTTATTAATAATAATCGATTGTATCGATATATTTATGAGAAGGCATTGCATATAATTGTTTCAAGCCCATACATACAAACTTGGTCCTTCGTGTGATTCAGTCTCTATTAAAATAATTTATGTAAGAATTTCGAATTTGCACTTTAATAAATTTGCTTTGGACACAAATGGTTTAGTGCATATTCTCTATTGGATTGGCTGTCTGTGTTGCAGTACCGGTAAAGTTTCTATTTTTTTTCTATTTTTACACTTGAATTACTACGTACGTTCACACCAATTTCTATCAGCAATAAAGATCCTTCAAAAGGTGAGAATTGCCATACTCACAAAATGTTCGTCCATAAATTGCTGCAGGCAATTAGTGAATATTCACCTCGGGCTGTCCAGACTAGATGCGATCGCGGGCCAATATAAATTACTGTGCAGATTGGAGGGCCGCAGGAACAAATACATACTTTCAAAGTTGTTATTATACTTACATTATAACATTATGAATACGGTTATAATATTAGATTTAGTTTTATTAATTTATCAATTTAAACTCAATTTAAAAATAATGTAGTTCTACCAGTACACCAAATGAAAATTTGCGAAATTGTAATAGATTAAAACCTTGTCGCGGGCCGCAAAAACATAAGTCGCGGGCCGTACTGTGGACAGCCATGCTCTAAACTAAACAGTACAAACTTTGCGCATAAAATGCTGTCATAAAACTCGATTTCTGAAATTCTTTATTAATTATCGTACATTTAATTGTAATTTCTTGGCTGGTGTTCTATAACGCATACGCTTAAGCATTCGTATCGGTTCACCTCTTAGTTAACGCAAAGCCAACTTTGTTATCAATTCGAATTCACCCTACGAAGCGTGAATAGCTGCACGTGTGCTCCGCTGTTATTTATGGGTTTTAGATAACTTTAAGGCGCCTCGAAGTATGCTATTTGTTTTTAAAGTATCAATTTACCTTTTCTTTGTATTTAGTAATTTTACAACTTTTCTTTTGCGTACGTGTCGGTCTGCCACTCTTCCAACCTTTTTCCAAATTCATTTTTATTTTTGACATATGCATGATTCAGCTGGAAAAGTTTTTATGTTGCGAGAAAATAATTAATATTTTTGTTATGGTTTCTTCGACGACTCGTCATTTTTCGCTGCATTCTTTTCTTAATGCGCAAAATATTCATATTCGTAGTATAGGCGCACCTCGCAGTTCGCAGTTCATTGCCTCATTTGTATGTATCTTGTCTTATTTATTCCGCAAAATAATAATAATAGTGTGGAAGGTGAAATGAGAAAGTAGGATTCTCCTTTATACTTGTGTCCTCTATACTTTTATAGCTTGTATCAAACAAGTAGAATTATATAATTAAACCAAAAATATTGAAGATATTTTTAAAATTTTGGAAATAAAATAATTTATTTTTTGTGACGTCAGAAAGAAAAAACATGTCTAAGGTAGTTTTTGCATTATTCAACTCTTTTTCAAATATAAAATTTTCAGGTGAATAATAAATAACTTGTCAATACTATCATTATAAAACAACAATTTCATTTATTCTTTGATTTATTTCCCAAGTAATTATTTGAAATATATTGATTTCTACATTTTATAAAAATACTAATAAAAAATTGATGTACCAATAAGTGGTGTGAGAACTAAAATATTTATATAAAAAATCAAAACTTTATAGATTAAGTTTAAAAACAATTTCATATCCGAAACATAGGACTGAGTATATTATATAAAAACCAAAAACAATTTTCTAGTAGTTTTTCAAAAATAAAAATACTGTAGTTATTAAAAAAGCTACTTAAAGTACTTAAAAATAAATTAAGAAAACAGTTGAATTTATGATGTATAAGCTTTATTAAGAAACGTAAATAAATATATATATATATATATACAAATACTTATGTAGATAACAATACATATATATTATTAAATACCTAAATTAAATTTAAAAAATCCTTAGAACCAAGCAAACAGTGAAAAGTTAACCTTTTATAAATAATTATATAATAATTAAATACGATTATATTAAATTCTGTTCATCATAAAATATTAAAAAAATAATTTAAATTTTTAAACTATACTTTTCTTATTATTAAAATCAATATTTTTGCGAGATAAAATAACTAAAAAAATATTCTGTTTATTTTTGTATGTGGTATCAGGCACAGGGAAACTCTAGCTCTGTACTGTACACAGAAATATACATGTATTAACTATCTATGTATAATATCCGAAAATGACTAAATTTGGTATTACAAGTAACGTTAATTGGTTATTTAGACTCTTAAGGTGGTAGAGCATTAGGTGTATTGGGAAGCATATATTGGACTACGTATATGAAATATATGAAGAGAATCGATTAAAGTATTGCTCTTTAGAATCATTACAGAAATATGTTAATGATATAACATATAAGGTGGAGTCGAAAGTTAAGCGGACTTTTTTAGAATAAGCATTTGTAGTGAGGTCAACTATTTTTCATTACTTGCATCAATTAGATAGATCCTTTACTAATATATTGTCAACATTTCTTGAATTGCGTTTGGAATCTTGTATTCAGAATAAAATTCATGTAATCTATTCCGTGAGAATTGTCTTATTAATTTTTATTATCTCAGGCTAAGGTGATATCAAAAATATTATCAAAGATATACCCAACGCCATGATAAACGTTTAAATTTGGTAATAAAATTATTAATAAAATACATACCTATATTCACCTATGTGTCTTCCTATAAGCATATAGATATTGTCGTGTATAGTCTGTTAGGTATGAAAAAGTGATACTCTTTTCATATAAAAAACATTCTAACCAATCGTTACTTAAATTCAATACTGTAAAGCCTTGTAAGCAGTTAAGGTAGCCTCATTATGATAAAGAATACTGAAATACTCGTATCAAAAATATTTTTTTGATTTATATTTTATAATAAATGTTTTTGAAGTGCAATCATTTAAAATTCGTTTGGCATGAAAACTTTGTTTTGATTTTTAAAAAAATTGACATTTTTAAGATATGACAGTATTGTACTAAGGCAACGACATATATCTCGTTCCACTCCACTATACACCATACAAAAAATGTATTGTGCCCTTCCTCCTCTTAATAATCATATTACATATGTGTGAAACAAAAATATTTAATTTTGAATTTTATTGAGTATTTGAAATTTTACATAGTACACTGTTTGATTTTAATATTCTCTATTGCCGTCATTAGACGATTTAGTTTAAATTAATAAGTAAATTAAAAAAAAAATTATGTGAGCTCTCGTCATTTGGACCAAAAACAATTAATTATTAAACATAGAAAATAGTGTGTAAATATGTAGTGAAGAAATTATTTAAATATAAGATATATACATTAAAAATATATACTTTGTAACAACTTTGTAACAAAAACAAAATCAAAGATGAAACAAAATTTTTACAACAACTATAGTAACAATAATAACGAAAGGAATTCATAGTTTACATTGAAAATATTAAATATTTGCATTAATTTGAAAATTAAAAACAAACCGAAATAGCTATTAAGAGCAAAGTCCTTAAGGTTTGTTAAGCAGCTTGGGTAAAACATTATGTTGGCATTGGAATTGGAATTGGGCTTTAACAATAAATGAAACCTATGGTATGTATAAGGATAAATTATTAAGAAATCAAATTCACCCAAATTCACCATTTACCTAAAACAGAGAAGAGTAATCTT